GAAGTTATACGAGGGCTGTGGGGATAGAGGATGTGGTAGCCACCTCCAAGTGGCCCCCAATGATTCCTACCTCCTGAAATCACATCATCATGGAGTTCCCTCCAACACGGCATCAGGGTTGGTCTGTGTGACAAATAGAAAATGGCAGAAGGGATGGCATGTCACTTCCAAGGTGAGGCCAAAGAAGACATTGTGCCTTCTGCTCTCCCATCTCTTGGATGCCTCCTTCTGAGAAAAGCCACCTTCCATGTAAAGGCCAATGTGGTGAGGAACTGAGGTCTCCAGCCAGCAGCTCTGGGAATGAGCTTTCTTGGAAGGGGGCCCTCCAGCCCCAGTCAGACCTTCAGATGAATGCAGTCCTGGTTGACTTGTTGACTGCAACCACAGAAGAGACTGTAAACTACAGCCATCCAGCTAAGACACTCCCAAATCTCTCACACAGGAAACTGAGATAATTAGAGTCAGTCCCAGGGTCCTCACCTTTCCTGTGGCCTCTGCTCCTTGATCTTCTTGTCCTGAGGACAGTCAGAGGTCTAAATTAAGATGAGAGACTTTCTTCCCAGCACTCCCACCACAGCCTTCCCAGGTCACCCTGATTCCCCCTAAGACTTACTCAGAAATGAAGGAGAAATAATGGACTTTCCCTGAAAAACAAAACCGGAAATATATCACCACTAGACTGGCCCTGCTAGAAATCCCTAAGAGAGTACTACATCTGCAAGCAAAAACAAAAACAAAAACAGAAAAGATTGTTAAACTGATGATAACACGTGAAAGAATAGTACTAATCAATAGAGTAAATACACAAATGAGAAAGATAATGAAATTATATTTTATCACTTAAAAATAAAGCAAAACAAACAAAAAAACACCAAATAGCAAAGCTAGACAATCAACAGTAATAATACATACACATACATATAATCAGAGGAGATAGAAAGAAACAATATGTATATAACTACCACAAATAAAATTAACAAAATGTCAGGATTAAGAAAATAACCTTTCAATAACAACCTTGAACTTAAATGCATTAAATTACCCACTCAAAAGAAATAGACTGGCAGAATGGATTCTAACAAAACACCCAATAATATGCTGTCTACAAGAAACTCACTTTACCTGGAAACACACATATACTAATAGTGAAAGGAGGAAAAAAGATATCTCATGCAAATGAAACCAAAATTGAGCAGGAGTAGCTATGCTTCTGTTGGATAAAATAGACTTTACTCCATAATCTATAAAAAGAGACAAAAAAGTCACTGTATAGTGATGAAGGGATCAATTCACCAAAAGAATATAACATTTGC